CGCTCGGGACGGGACCGGACCGGACGGGGGGTCGCCCCGGCGGCACCCCGGAGTTCTGCTGTGGAGGGTGGCGGGCCCCGAGAAGGGCTGGCGCGGGGGGATGGTTCCCCGGGGAGCCCGAATGGAGCCCTGGAGACACACGTTGAGGTGCGCGCGGGGCGGGTGCGTGCCAGGCACCTCTTGACCTCCGCGGGCGCCCCGGGCTCTGATGGGCCTCGGCCGGGCGCTGGGGACGGAGATGCTACGCGTTTGCTTGCGGCAGCAGCAGCAGCAGCAGCAGCAGCGTTGCTCCAAAGGCAGCTGACACTTGGGACGTGCCCTTCTTTTTCCCCATCCCCACCCCTGGCCCTGTCCTCAGCCGCCCTCGACCTTTCGCACTCGTGACCGGCTGGCCAGCCAGCCAGCCAGCCCCGCTAGCTGCAGCAGGTGCTGGGGGGAGAAAAGCTTGCCCGGACGAACGACCTTCCTCCGCGAAGCATCCCCGCTTCCCCTTCCCCTGGAATTGGTTGAATACAAAAAAAGAACCGTGACGCTGCCTCTCCTCTCCTTTTGGCGCCAGGTTTCTGATTTCCTGTAACCTCTTCTTGCCTCGCGCTGCCCAGGTCTTGGCGGCCGAGGCTGGCCTACCTCCCCGTCGTTCCTTCATGGGCTTTGCTGCCCCCTTCACCAACAAGCGGAAGGCTTACTCGGAGCGTAGGATCATGGGGTGAGCATCCTTCTCTTCCACTCCAAATAAATAACCAGGTGCCGACAGTGGATAAGATTCAGATTGGGCCACCCACCTCGCCGGTAATCTCTGTAAACTCTGGAGGCCAGAGGCAGGATTGCAAGCTTGAAGCCTCCCTGGGTTACATAGCCCAAAGCCTGTGTCACACATATTACACACATGTACTTGAGACAGGGTCTTATGTAGCCTAGGTTGGCGTTGAACTTGACATATAGTCGGAATGACTTTGAACTTCTGACTATCCTGCCTCCACCTCCCTCCCTAGAGCTGGGATTACAGGCATGGGCGGCCACGCTGGTTTCATGCAATGCTGAGGATTGAGCCTAGGTCCTTGCGGTTGCTAAGAAACCACTTCCCTGCTCTTTTTTTTTCTTTATTTTCTTTTTCTTTTCTTTTTTTTTTTTTTTTTTGAGACAGGTTTTCATTATATACCTCTGGCTGTCCACCTTGGAACTGTATAGACCAGCTTGGCCTCACACTGAGTTGTGCCTGTGTGCTGGGACTAAAGGCTCGCACCACTATTCCAGGCTTCTTTGTTTGTTTTGAGACAAGGTCCCCTTTTTTTTGGTTTTTCGAGACAGGGTTTCTCTGTGTAGTTTTGCGCCTTTCCTGGAACTCACTCTGTAGCCCAGGCTAGCCTCGAACTCACAGAGATCCGCCTGGCTCTGCCTCCCGAGTGCTGGGATTAAAGGCGTGTGCCACCACTGCCTGGCCGAGACAAGGTCTTACTAAAGGCATGTACCACCAAGCCTAGCTATAGCAAAAACATTTTTAAAAATTTAAACTATAGGGACTAGAGAGTTGGCTCAGTGGTTAAGAGCATTTGTTACAAAGGCCTAGGGCTTGAATCCCAGCCCCACGTGGAGGTTCAACCATCTCCTTGAGCACCAGCACACATGTGGTGCACAAATGTACACATGCAGAAAAAGCACTCATAAAATAATAAAAATAAACCTAAAAGTATTTTAACTATAAAAAAATGGCGGGGGGGGGGGGGGGGGGGGGGGGGGATGGTTTAATGACTAGGAGCCTGTACTGCAGAATTCAGTTCCTAGCACCTACCTCGACTCCAGCTCCAGAGGATCTTGTATTCTGTTGTGGACCTTGTGGGCACATGCATGTGTACAGACCCTCCCCCAAACATACACATAAAGAAAATTCGGTAGTGGTACATGCTGACAACTTGAGCACTCTGGAGGCTTAGGCAGGAGGATGGCTATCAGTTTCAGCCCCCTGAACTGTAGCGCAGGCCCCACAGCTAGACCTTATTTAAAAACGGGGTATCGGTGGTGAAATGGTTCTGGAGGTGTGGGTACTGGCTGCCAAGGTTGATCCCCTAGATCCACACGGTGGAAGAGGAGAGCCAACTCTTGGGAGTTGTCTTGACCTCGGTGCACACTGTGTCACAGCTCCCATACACAGATTAATACATGTAAACTACTGTTTAATTATTAGAGTCAGGTCTCTGTGTAACAGCCCTGGATGTCTTGGAACTCACTGTAGACGACCTGAGTGCTGGGTTTAAAGGCATGCGATACCATGCTTGGAGTAACATATTAAAGAAGAAAAAGAGACAGTATATTATTTTTCTGACAAATTAAAAAATGTGTTCTGAGGAGATTAAGAGCACTGATGAGTTTAAGGTCAGCCTGGGCCACACAAGACTGTCTTTTTAAAAAACCCTACGGCTCAGCAGGTAAAGGCACTTGCCACCAAGCCTGAAGACCCGATAAGTTTGATTCCTCAAATCCACAATGGAAGAACAGACTGCTTTTTCTCTGGTCTCCACGCATGTCCCATACATACACATACAAAATAATGAGACTGACTATCAATAAAACTGATACCCTGCCATCTATAGGGATAGATAATGTATCATCTAGGTATCTCTGGGTTCCTGGTTTGTGGGCAGAGACCCGGCTGGCAGTTCCTTGGCCTCTCTCGACTCCTCTTGTCCTAGGTACTCCATGCAGGAGATGTATGAGGTGGTGTCCAATGTCCAGGAGTATCGAGAGTTTGTGCCGTGGTGTAAGAAGTCACTGGTGGTGTCCAGCCGTAAGGGTCACCTGAAAGCCCAGTTGGAGGTTGGGTTTCCACCTGTCTTGGAACGTTATACCTCTGCGGTCTCCATGGTCAAACCACACATGGTCAAGGTGAGGCCTGTCTGGGAGGATTCAGGGTGCTTTGTTCTTAGCAGTTTCACATGCTAGGGTTATTTGGCCTTTCCTGTAATCACCTGATTTCTACGTGTTAAATATTTACCTAATATAACATTAAAGGAAAGGAAAATTTTGGGTGGCGGTGCCACACGTACTATGCAAGTAGTTCCACCAAGCTAAACCCTCTAGCTCAGTGGTTCTCAACCTTCCCGACGCTGCGGACCTTTAATACAGTTCCCCATGTTGAGGTGACCCCCAACCTTAAAATCATTTTTGTTGTTACTTCGTAATTGTAATTTTGCTACTGTTATGGACTGTAATGTGAACACCCGTGTTTTCTGATGGTCTTGGGCGGCCCACAGGTTGAGAACCCCTTCCCCAGCCCCTTCGACACCAGCCCTCTTAACAGTGGGAGCTAACTGGCCAACGGTATCCTGTTCTAGGCTGTGTGCACAGACGGCAAGCTCTTCAACCACTTAGAGACTATTTGGCGATTCAGCCCTGGTATTCCTGCCTACCCTCGAACCTGCACTGTGGACTTCTCGGTGAGTCAGGTTTTGTGGTGGAGCTTGGACCAGGCATGAAGGTAAAACTAAGCACTAAACACTTCAAGTCACTAAGTATCCAGAGTAAGTCTCTACCAGAGTTGCATGTTGCTCAGTTCTCAGCGTTCTTAAGTGGTATCTGGAGGGGGATAAAGAGGCGCACAGACCTCCACCCTTACGATGCTGACCGTCTCCTGTGCATTTCCAGATCTCCTTTGAATTTCGTTCCCTGCTGCACTCCCAGTTGGCGACCATGTTTTTTGATGAGGTCGTCAAACAGAACGTTGCTGCCTTTGAGCGCCGGGCAGCCACTAAGTTTGGTCCAGAAACAGCCATCCCCCGTGAACTCATGTTCCACGAAGTGCACCAGACCTGAGACAAAGGATTGCTCTCTTGCCTCCACCCCTATTCCCACCCAACTTTTATTTATTCGGCTTGGCTCTTGCTCAGAGAGAGGTCTAAGTTTCACCTCTCAATTCTTCCCACACCAGGCCGCATGCTGCGCGGACATGTGGGAAAAGATAGCAGATATGAAGTGAGACACACAGAAAGGGTCAGGAGCGTTCTGAAAGCCTCATACGCCCACAGCCGTTCCACACCAAATAAAAACCAGGGCTGTGGTCTCTGGGCCCAGTCAAGCGAATATAGTAGTAACTTCCTCACAGAGGCACTGGCTGGCAAGTAACTCCTACCCTGCTAAGATTTCTCAGGAGAAAAGGCAACCTGCCTCAGCTCAGGAACATGTCCATGCTGTCTGACAGGTGGAAAGGGGGAGCTGCTGCACCATCATGCCACAGAGCAGAGGAGGAGGAATTCCCTGACAGTGTGCTCTATACTGTTGGGATGTACCTTTTCTTCCACGCAGCCTGAGTTTTTATAAAACTTCAATAAATTATGACAGTGTGAATTCGCCCCCTTTTTTTGTGTCGTTTCTCGGGGTAGGGGTGGGGGTATAACAGTAAGCAGAGTAGATGACCCTGTGGGAGGAAAGGTGTAAGACAGCCTTGTGGACGCGGCGTCCCTGCTAACTATAGTAGCACGTCCCGTATGCCAGGACCTACTACCTATCTTCTTGCCTATTTATAGATTTTTTTCAGAAGCTCAGCTGTAGCAGGAGTCTCAGGACAGATTCATGTGTCCTAGACCTCCCCTATATCTACTGCCCCCCAGAACCACCCCTTATTTGGGGGGGCCTCCTTAAGGGAAGTGATAAAGGTGAGACACTAGCTACAAGCACCCTCTAGGGCCTAGGTTTGGATCTAGCAGTCCTCCTCCATCTGTCCTTGGTACGGTTCTTGTTCCTTTCACCCAGTGGGCTAGACCAGCTCCTGGATTAGTCAGGCAAGTACTCGTGAGGTCTCTGTCAGAGTCTTTCCAAATCAGGAGGGATGGGGGTTAAAGGTAGAGGACTTCCTAACCTCTTTGGAAATCAGCCTTCCCCCTCAATGTCTAACTCCTGAAGTAAAAGGAATACACAGAATCACTGACCACCTACTAGTTTGGACCTTCCTAACCACATCCCTCACCTCATAATGATTCTTTCAGGCCTTATGCAATAGCAAGCTCAAGCATTGTTAATAAAAACATTTATTATTTTTCATTTTATACAGAACAACCTGAAGTCTGCATCATGACTTAACAGTTACCCAGGGGTTTACAGTGTGTCCATCTCAGCAGTGTGGTGCTGGGGTTTGGGTTCCACACAAACACAGGCAGGAGTTTTGGGGTAAGGAGGGGGCACAACAGGAGTGTATCTCAACCCTTTCTCAAAGAAAAGGCAGTAGAGCATTCTGAGTCACTGAAAATCTGTGCAAATTGGGGCTGCTAAAATAAACACCATACTGTGAGCTCTTAAGGAAAGAGCAAGAGAAAGACATCGATAAATAAAAGGACATGTCCTTGGCGCAGGGGATGAGAAGAAGGCTCACTGTTTTGAATTCCCTCAGACCTAGTCCAACTGATATTCAAAGGGAACTATATTCAATTGCAAGTCATTTTTCTGTTCAAAAAGAAAGCTAGAACCTCTGGGACCAGACCATGAAGGGGCTGGTCATTCCTGAGCCCTTGTTCTGTGTGCCAGAGCATATTAACAGGAAAAAACAAGGTTAAAAGAGAGTGGCTTATGTTCCATGGAAGTAAAAGGCCTAGTTCACATTAAGTACTGATAAAGCCAAATGACTGGGAAGACCACAGATCAAGACCTGCTAACAGGACCCTAGCAGAGGCTAGGACAGGGAGACCCAGAGCATCCTCAGCTGAGGCACAGCAGGTGTAGGAAGCCTGGAAGGAAACAGAACACTCCCAGACTTTAATGTTAATGGTATAATTTAAAAAGAGAAATAGAATCAAATGCTGGGTACCAGTAACAATAAATACCATGCCGTTTATGGTCACCCGACCATAGCATAAAAGTTGCCAAAGTTTCCCGCTAACCAGTAGATCTTGCTGCTAGGAGGCTGCTTGCATACACAGGAAAAGGCCCAAGGATCGGACACAGCTGATAATCCCACATGATTCCTATGGTAACAAAAGGATCCTGGCCCTGGCCTCAGTGGTTTAGAGGGCTGGTGGAGTAGAAGCAAAAGCTTCACAGGGTGACTGCAGCTTTTCTGTAACCTGCTTTGACCTAAAGAGGAGGAGCCAGACTCTCACTCCAGAGATGGTGGGTAGCCAGATCTAACCCTGACCTCATGCATTAGTCCTGGTCATCCTACAGTTGGTGGACAACTCCTACCAGGTAGGGAAGTGAGCTGGGGAGGGAAGAAGGGGTCGCTTTTCATCTTTTAACTCTTAATTTATATTTTAACTTCAAATGTATTTTCAGTGCCTCAGATACAGTTTAATCTTAAGTCTTAAAGGCCCCTGAAACAAAACAAAATTATACTTTATTTGTAAGCTTCCTCATTTTCTCATAGTCATTTTCCCCAACCTCCCATTCTACCCTGACTTGGAGTCCACAAACTTCATCAGGCCATCCGTGCTCATGGACTTGGGCCTTTCTAGAGGTAAGCCTAGGGCTCTGCTCCAGATGAGTTGTGCCAGCACACCCAGTGCCCTCGACACGCCAAACAGGACTGTGTAGTAGTTCATCTCCGTCATGCCATAGTACTGTTAAGGTAGAAGAGAAGAAAAGGCTTTGTTAAAAGCCAGAGACGGTGGCATACACAAGTCCATGGCAACAAGGACCTTAGAGACTTCATTTCCCCCCTTTATCCAGTCTTGGTCCACTCAGCCTTAGACAGAAGGAACATTAGGAGAAGTACAGCAACTGTAATCCGTCCCTGCCGTGAGCAACTATATCAAAGGCTCTGTGAGGGAGGCCGTAGAAGACTCCTTACTCTAGCAGAGCTGGTGTTGCAGACCTGAAAGTCTATCTACTTAAGAGGCTGAGGCAAGAGATCAAAAGCTTAAGGTCAGAGGCCAAGAACAGCTTGGTTTGTAGACGGTTTGCCTTTCAAGACTGAGGATCTGAGTTCAGATTCCCAGCATGCACATGTAAGTCGGGGTGTAGCGGCCTGTGCCTGAAATCCTGGAAGCAGGAGGACCCTTGAGCTTGTTACTGATGAGTGGAAATCAATGAACTCCAGGTTCAGTAAGAGACCCTGTCTCCAAAAGTAAGATAGAAAGCAGACACCTGATATCACCTCTGGCACCCACAGATGTCAGCACACACACACACACACACACACACACACACACACACACACACACACGCACACAGACACACACGCACACACACACTCACAGACACACACAGATACACACAGACACACGCGCACACACACAGACACACATGCACACACAGACACACAGATACACAGACAGACACAGACAGACACACACACACAGACACACACACACACACACACACATTTACCACCAATTAACTAGAAAAAGTGCCAGGCCTGGTGGTGCATATATATCTTCATTCAAAGAACTTGGGAGGCAGAGGCAGCGGATCTGAGTTCAAGGTCAAGCTGATCTACATGGAGTTCCAAGCCACTCAAGACTACTGAGTAAGACCTCTCAATAAAAGGCCACGCATGAGGCTTTGGGTTCCACGCCCTTGTTCTGGTTAGGGGAGATTTTGTGCACAGCAAAGAACAAAACAGCAGTGCAAGCGAGCGGGAAGTATGAGAGAAAGGACTCACCTGGAGCAGCACCCCACTATGAGCATCCACGTTGGGCCAAGGGTTCTTGGCCTTCCCCTGCTCTAAGAGGATATTGGGCACAATCTTGTAGAGCTGAGCAACCAGCTTAAACATGGGGTCATTAGGCAGATGTTTCAGAGCAAACTCTCTCTGACAGGAATATCGGGGGTCAGTCTTCCTTAGTACTGCATGACCATATCCTGGGACAACCTGTAAAGGGTGGAAAAAATTACAGAATTGGCATATTCAGGTAGAACTTTTCCTCTTCACCCTCAGGGTAATTTGGTCCTGGTGGCTCAAATTCAGCCTGGGTAATTCAGTGAAACCCTGTCTCAAAAAAAAAAAAAAAAAAAAGCAAGGGCTGGGGACACAGTTCAGTTCAGTGGCAGAGCACCCGGCTAGCCAGAAGATGCTGGGTTCAAGCCCAAGCATCACACATAAAAAAAAAAATTAAATCCACAAGGGAAACAATAGAAAAGGCAGGTTTCTGACTAATTAATGCAGGGACAGCTTTTATTCTTTTATTTTATTTTTTCCCTTGAGACAAGGTCTCGATGGCCTGGAATTTTCTTTCAAGTTGCAGTGTCTGGGTCTCAGTCTCTTTTCCTGATTGCTTACCCGTCCTGAATTGAGTGTATTCCAGATGTAGTCTCGTAACTTCTCGTCTGACACATCTTTGCCAACTTCCTTCTGTAACTGTGTTAGCCAGACGAGCACTTCCTGTATGTCAGGGTTCGGGTGGGGAAGAAGAATGTCAATGTACATGCCAAGGAAAGAATGTCAAGATAAGGGGCAGAGCATGTGGGTAAAAACACAGAACAGGGAAAGCCTAGTCTTACCTGATTTGCTAGTCCATGTAGAGGCCCTGCCAGCCCATTCATGGCTGCTGCAAAGGATAGGTAAGGGTCTGAAAGGGCACTGCCCACCAGGTGGCTTGTGTGGGCACTTACATTACCACCCTCATGGTCACTGTGGGGATAGAAGGCAGAGTCGGAGAAAGAAAAGGCTGGTTGTGAAGCACAGACCCTGCTTTTCTTCTGTCACATCTTGGCCTCATGGGCTCCCAACACCCTGGAGCCTGCCAGCTGGCACCTACTCCCTCTCTCCATGCCCACTATTCACCCTACACTTCCACTGTTAGGATCAAAGACGGAGCTCAAAGCACGCATTAGGCAAATACTCTTCCTGGGCTACATATTCTCAGCTACCTCCCCCCAACTGAATAATGACAACCAGAAGAGGGAGCTCCTGGAAAGCTGATGGACTGCCTCATGTGAGCAGCTTATCTTTTTCCCAATCACAAGCAACGTCCCTAAGCCTTTCAGCTTTTCTTCCTTATTTCTTGCCTAGTTTCAATCCCTACAAGGTGTTTCTACCCCTTTGCTACAGACCATCTGTTCCAGATAATAACATTAAGGAGCATTTTAATGTACCCCTACCCCCCATTGCTGGGCATGGTGGCACACGCCCTTAATCCTGGCACTTGGGAGACAGGCAGGAGGATCTTTCTGAGTTTGAGGCCAGCCTGATCTACATAGTGAGTTCAAGGACATCCAGGGCTATGTAGAAAGATCCTGTCTCAAACAAACAAAAAACCCAAAACCTAAAAACCAAACCAAAACAAAGAGTTTCCCATCAATCCAGGCACTTGAGGGGTATAATTACTAAATCTAGCTCACCTGTGGATGGTGAGGTACAAACGCATAAGCTCAGTGAACTGTGCATCAGTATAGCCTAACATGTTGGTGAAATTGTGGGACCAGTCCAGCTTAGAATCAATGGCCCCAATGCTGCTGCCTTCCCGGTAAAGATTCCGGTAGATCTTTGCTGCAACACAAGGTAGCTTCGCAATCAGGTCCATACAGTCTTCATAAATCAACTGAAGAAAAGATGGAGGAAAAAAAAAAGGAATTACCTGCAAAGCATTATTAGGCTGCAATACTGTTTGTGTGTCTGGGTTGATAGCTGTATGCTGGGTAGTTATAAAGTCTATTAAGGAATAGAATAACAATAACCATATACTGAGTAGACTACTACAACCCAGGTTTCTAATACTGTTTTCTTCCTCCTGAACATATAACAACCACCTCAGAGATAAGGAACTGAGGTTCCTAGGACTCAGTTAAGTGTGGTGGTATTGTGTTCCCCAAAATATTGTGCACCCTAATAAACTTATCTGGGGTCAGAGACAGAACAGCCACTAGATACAAAGGCTAGAAAATGGTGGCACTCACACCTTTAATCCTAGCATTACAGAGGCAGAAATCCGTCTGGATCTCTGTGAGTTCAAGGCCACACTGGAAACGGCCAGGCATGGTGACACATGCCTTTCATCTCAGAAAGTGAGCCTTTAATCCCAGGGAGTGGTGGTAGAAAGCAGAAAGGTATATAAGGCGTGAGGACCAGAAACTAGAAGCATTTGGCTGGTTAAGCTTTCAAGCTTTGGAGCGGCAGTTCAGCTGAGACCCATTCGGATATGAGGACTCAGAGGCTTCCAGTCTGAGGAAACAGGATCAGCTGAGGAAGTGGCGAGAACTTTTAAGATTCCTGCTACAGCTAAAGATTAAAGTAAAATCTGAACGCTGATGTGCTGCGTTGTGATGTTCTCAGGAAACTGTAAATTTACACCAAATTAATGTGCTAAGATATCATCTTTACATCTTTAATTTTTAAGTTTTATTTATTATTATTGTACGTGTGTAACATGCATGTAAGGGGACAGGGGTTCCACATGCCACAGCACACAGTGAGATAGAGGACGGCCCTGTGAAGCCCCTTCTTCCCTACCACCTTATGTGGGTTCTGGGGACGGAAGAGATTCTGGGATTGTGCAAGTGCCTTTACCTGCTGAACCATCTCACTGGCCCATTTTCTAAAATTAATTCTTTATTTCTGTATTCTAATGTTTAATTTAATTCTATACTTTATCTTCCAATGAAAATTTATTATCTATGTTAAGAGCCAAACAGTACTGACCAATTATAGCAAAAGCTTCAAGGTTTAGGTATGTATTTTGCGAGATATATTATGCAAGGATTTGATACATGTATACTCTGACAGAAAACTTGTGCAGCACGTAGGAGGCCTGAGTTTGATACCTGGCATTTGCCTAAAACTTTATCCAAAACATGGGGCTGGGGAGATGGTTCTGTAGCCAAGAGCACTTGTTCTTGCAGAGACTCAGGCTCAGTTCCCAGCACCCAACATGGTAGCTAATGATGATCTATAACTCCAGTTTCAGAGGATCGAATGCCCTCTTCTGGCCTCCACATACACTACATGCGTGTGGTGCATAGACACACTTGCAGACAAAACACCCATATTACGTAAAAAATAAATCTTGAAAAAGATACCCCAAGAAGAGTACACTAACTGGTTATTGAAAACACAAGTAACATCACACAGACTGAGCAGGTTATATTTACCTATTTAGGAACACACACACCACACGCAAATGGGATCCTCTTAAACCTAGCTACATAATTTGTACTTTGAGGTGTGTGTGGGACTGGAAAAGGATGGTATAGTGTGTGCTGTGTACGGTGCTGCGCACTGGACAACACCCCAACAACAGGATTTAAACTAGTGAGGTCACTTCTCATTTTCAGAAAACAGAATCTGTTTCAGGGTCTCACACGCAGGCTGCCAGCCACCTTTGCTCTCCCAGCAGCATCTCGGGTGGTCTCACCCAGAGTGTGACTGGCCTCAGTCCTCCTGGACTACTGTGATTAGCTATCGTTCACCCAAATTCTAAGGGGTCATGGAAAGGCTCCTTGTTTGGGGCTGGGAGGCGGCTCGGTGGACACACTGAGTCTGACGCCTGGCACCCTATGACACACTGTGTGAGGAGAAGTCGGGTTCCTGTAAGCTGTCTTCTGACCGTCACACGCTGTGTGAGTGCACAAACCACACAGAAACAAGATGGGAGGAAAAACACACAGGAAAAGAAACAAGTTACCATCTTACAGTGAATTTTTGCTTTAGTGTTGGGGACTAACTCGGGGTCACAGTTTGTGAAGTGGGTTCCTGGAGTAACTCAGAAGTCACCCCACTTAGCTTTCCTACCTCCCAGTACTTGGTCCGGTTGATCCCCTCTGCATATGCCCGGGCAAAGTTACTCTCACTGTTGAGGGCTGTGATGGCTGCACTGAGCTGAGACATGGGGTGCAGATTAGTCGGAAAGTTGTCCAGCATGGTGACCACATGAGAAGGCAGAGCGGCCCTCTTTGCCCATTCTTGTGAGAGCCAAGACACCTGTGAAAAAGGAGATCCACTCAGACCCCGCTGATTCCTTCTCAAAGCAAGCCATAAACTCTAGCTACGGGGAGATGAGGAGTCAATGTTGAAGACTAGAGAAAGGCAAGGACAGGGAATGGGAAGGGCCAGTGTTGACCATACCTGTCCCTCTGTTGGCATCTTTCCAGTGACCAGCAGCCAAAATAAGCCCTCAGGTAGGGGTTCTTCCCCACCCTTAGCCTTAGGCAGCAGTTTCTGGCATTCAGGGATACTATAGCCTCGGAAACGGATGCCCTTGAGAAAGAAGAGTGAGAATTACAACCAAATTATTAATCTGTCCTCCATCATAAAACAGACTGGTCCTAATCATGTCAGACACTCAGTGGGTAAACACACTTGACACTCAGCCTGATGGCCTGAGTTTGATCCTGGGACTCACACAGTGACGCAAGAGAAATGACTCCCACAAGTTGTCCTCTGACCTCCACACTTACAATGTGGCACTTGTACCTGGGCACACACGTGAACATGCACACACAAAGTAGAAGTATTTATTAAAAAATATTATATATATATATATATATATATATATACACACACACACACACACACACACACACACTAAACCAAAACAAAACAAAAAAAGCCAGGCATGGTGGTGCACACCTTTAATCCCAGCACTCTGGAGGCAGAGGCAGGTGGATCTCTGAGTTCGAGGCCAGCTTGGTCTACAGAGTGAGTTCCAGGACAGCCAGGGCTACACAGAGAAACCCTGTCTCACAAAAAACAAAACGTACAGAGAAACCCTGTCTTGAACCCCCTCCCCAAAAAACCCACAACAAAATAACCCAAAAACAAACACAAAAAAGAAAAAAAAATATCTTATATATATTCACTTACTTAAAAAAAAAAATCTATTTAGCCGGGCGGTGGTGGCGCACGCCTTTAATCCCAGCACTCGGGAGGCAGAGGCAGGCGGATCTCTGAGAGTTCAAGGCCAGGCTGGGCTACCAAGTGAGTTCCAGGAGAGGCGCAAAGCTACACAGAGAAACCCTGTCTCAAAAAAACCAAAAAAAAAAAAAAAAAATCTATTTATTTTTTTGAGATAGAGTATGTCTATGTAGTCCTGTCATTCACTATGAAGACCAGGGTGGCCTTGAACTCATAGAGATCAACCAGCCTCTGCCTCCCCAGCGTTAGGATTAAAGATGCGGGCCCCCATATCTGGATATTTTTCTTACTTTTAATTGTGTGTGCACATGAGTGTGTGGGTGTAGTATGTCTTAACTGCTAAGCCACCTCTCTAGCCCCATATATGTGTCTTTTTTTTTTTAATTAAAAAAGGGGGAGGGGGCACATGCCATGAGTTCAAGGCCAATGTGGTGTATACCGTAAGTTCCAGGCCAGCCAAGGGTAAGACTTACTTAAAAAAAAACAAACAAAAACCAAGAACCAAAACAAAACAAAACCCTAGTACTTTCAAATATTAATTCTTCAAATATCTACTTCTGCCTTTGTTCCCTTACTCTATACTCAGATGTTCTGAGGAGAAAAGTGTTCTTCTCTGCACTGTGCGTTAGTTTCCAAACTGGTTTGTATGGTCAGAACCCACTGGCAATCACTGACGGATGATGGTGTCTTACCTCATCAGGATCAAGAACTGATGTTTCATACACAAGTCCTTTCATGCCTCTCATGCCACCATACATCTAAAGGAAAGAGGTTGTGACCAATCAGAGTGGCTCAGACCATGGAGCTCAGAGAAGACATTTACTTTCTTACTTGCAAGATACACTCAGGAGGCAGCTTCTGGGGGTTGATTTCTAGAACTAAACCAGCGTGTTATCAAGGTCTGCTGGTGCAGGGAATGGACGCTTGCCCCACGTCACTACTGTTTCTTTAGTGTTCCAGCCTTGGCTGCCTTTTCTTAACTGCATTGTATTTCTTCTCCTGACCGTTCTTAACCCCCTCCACATTCCCTATGCTGAGTTAAACGGAATTAGATCTATTATGGGCAAAGGAAGGTGGCAATGACTAAAAATTGTTAGCTGAGTTGCTCAAACTCCTATGGCTGAGGAAGTTATCCTAAGGCTGTACAGAGGATTTACTGGGACTATAGTTTAACTGGATGGCTGCCACAACAATCAAAAGACAGTCCAGCCCTAACTAAAGAGCTGGGAACAGAACCAGAAACTACATGTATCTTTGTCATAGGTGAATAAGGTTAGGCTTAATTATTAAATTTGCAGAAAAGAACTATTCTCTAATGAATACCATAAATCCCAACATTTCATTGTACTGAATAGAATACTTCTGAACCACCAGTAAAGAAAATGGTAACTGTGTGGCATACATTCCTGGGCTACTGTTCCCATCTAAGACACAGGCCTTACCATGTCCACAGTGATTTGGCCCACCACTGTCTTCCCATGTTGCTGTCTGAAGGCTTTAATTCTGGCCTGCTCCTTAGGTATCAGATTGCTCAGTACATCTTTCAAATTCTAGAAAGAGAAAATAGAAGGGTTAAGTGATAGGAAAACATACAGGGCTTCCTACTGTAAAGAAGGTATGTGAAGACTGCCTGTTATCATTTCTCTGTCTGCCAGGAATGGGGAGGAGGGAATGCAGAGCTTCATTTTGCAGAGATGAAAATGTCCTGGATATGGACAGTGATGTTCACTTAATTAATGATAAAAAAGTCAAGAATGGTGGGTGCATGCCTATAATCCTAGTACTCAAGAGGCCACCCTGTCTCAGGAATTTAATAAAAGAGCTATATAAGACCCTGCATTAGGAATTAAAAAACAAACAAACAAACTTTAGCAGTAACTTTTATTTCATCTAGGGGTTATGTGTATGGTCTGGTGGCAAAGAACTTGCCTAGTATGTGTGAAGCCCTGGGTTTAATGCTCAGCATTACAAAAAATAAAGAGGGGAGGGAACACTTGCTATTTCCACATTACTATTCCACTCGATAAATTATTTCTTAAGGGGCTGAAGAGATGGCTCAGTGGTTAAGAGCACTGGCTGCTCTTCCAGGACCAGGGTTCAATTCCCAGCACCCACATGGTAGCTCACACCAGTCTGTAACTCCATTTCCAGGGGATCCAACACCTTCACACAGACATACATGCAGGCAAAACACCAATGCACATAAAATTAAAAAAATATTTCTGAAAACAGTAGTAATAATAATCGTAACAATAACAATTACTGGCTAATTCCAACAGACTTAAGATAGCAAGGCAAGTAGTTGCCGAACACTCTACCCTGAGTCAGACTGCTGGATTCTGTACTCCTTGCCAGATCTTACCGTGGAAGAACTGGCATGACGGACAGCAAAAACAAGGCAGGATGAATTCTGCAAAGAGATGAAGACAAAATCCTTATCAACACCCTTCCCTCCTTTGCATCAAGAAGTTGCAGTGACTTGACTGCCTCTCCATTTTCACCTTTTAGGACTTCTGGCATCAAGTTTTACCAGGCCATAAATAGCCTGGCAGAAACCTGCTGCTCATACCCACACTATCACTAGTATTCCTTTAAGAGTTTCTCTCGCTAGGCGGCGGCGGCGCACGCCTTTAATCCCAGCACTCGGGAGGCAGAGCCAGGCGGATCTCTGTGAGTTCGAGGCCAGCCTGGTCTACAGAGTGAGTTCCAGGACAGGCGCAAAGCTACACAGAGAAACCCTGTCTCGTGAAACCAAAAACCAAACCAAAACAAAACAGTTTCTTTCATACACCTGGGTTCCTGGACAACATAGTTGTTATATACAGCATTTAGTCCATCCAGATTTAATTGTCAATATTTGTGAGTGGCTGCCCAGAAAACTGGCCGATTACTACTGCTGCTAAGGTATCTCCATCACCTAGTCTTCTAGCATCACTCAACCTGTCCAATCTAGGACAGCCTGGAGGCAGGGGCAGCCTTTCACAATAGGATTTCTAACCCTTCTGGCTTATTTTATTTTCCAGAGAATCAGAAAGGAGCAAGCAGATGGGATTACAAAGATGCTAATCTCAACTGATGCAAACTTCAAGCATGTTGTCTTGCCCCTGGAAAGAGGAATAGGTAAGGATTATCTAACCTGATCATCCCTTCTGGTTTTTTTTTTTTTTTTTTTTTTTTTTGGTTTTTCGAGACAGGGTTTCTCTGTGTAGCTTTGCGCCTTTCCTGGAACTCGCTTTGGAGACCAGGCTGGCCTCGAACTCACAGAGATCCGCCTGGCTCTGCCTCCCGAGTGCTGGGATTAAAGGCGTGCGCCACCACCGCCCGGCCCCTTCTGGTTTTAAAAGCACATAGAATATCTACAAAGAAGCAACTAACCAACAACTACTTAAGACCAGGAGTGGAAGAAGAGCTAGAGGGATAGCACCCAAGCGGCAGCTCACAACCACCCCATAACTCCAGTTCTGGGGAATCCAGCCCACTTCTAGCCCCCGAAGGTTCCAGGCATGCAAGTGATGCTTGGGCACACATGCAAACAAAATACCCATACATATAAAATTAAAAATTACAAGAAAAAGGAAAGTCAAAGAAATAGAGGATTTAAAGGCAGTAAGTCACCCTGGACACTATGTGTGACATCTGTTTTAGGTGTCCGCTTGAGAATATTAAAAAATACCCAGAGTAAAGGTGTTTCCAGAAGTAATCTCTTCTGAATGTGAGTATGAGTGGACTAAGTGGAAAGACACACCCCTGCATATGAACCTCATCAGCAGGGGCCTCTGAGCAAAACCAGAAAAGGTAAATCAGTCTCCTGTCACTCCCAGCTAGGAAATACTTTTCTCCAAACACAGACACCAGACCTCTTCCTTTGAACACCATAACTGACAGACACTAGCAGTTCTTCTGCCTTTGAACACCAAGACTGACAGACACTTCCTCTGCCTTTGAACACCACGACTGACAAGATACTGGCATTTCTCAGGTACTCAGGCTTATGGACTTGAACTGAAACATACTGCCACTCTTCCAGGTATCCTACTTGCTTCTATAACTGTTAGCATGCACACATATACAGATACACAAACAAATTTTTATTTTTTCCTTTTTGGACAAGGTATCTTCATGTAGCTCTGGCTGGCCTTGAACTCAGAGATTAGCTTGTCTTTGCCTCCCAAGTTCTGGGTTATAAAGGCTTGTGCCACCACACTCCTGGCATTTTCTTTTCTTTTCTTTTCTTTTCTTTTTTTTTCCAAGACAGGGTTTCCCTGTGTAGCTTTGGTACCTGTCCTGGATCTTGCTCCATAGACCAGGCTGGCCTCGAACTCAAGAGATCCTCCTGGCTCTGCCTCCTGAGTGCTGGGATTAAAAGCATGCACCACTGCAGCCACCCAGCTCACTCCTGGCATCTTTATATATTATCTATGTACACTGTACACAGTAATCTTACTGACTCTCTAAACCTTGACTAACAAACTATTCAAAATGATAAAGGAAAAATTCAAGTTAGAACCATTTTAATCACAAAGAACACAGAATAAATACTTGATGTGGTGGTACTTACCTGTAATCCAGCACTTGGGACACAGAGGCAGTAGGATCACAGCTTCTAGGCTAGCCTAAGTCTACAGAGTGAGACATGCCTAAAAAACAACAAAGCAGCGGCGGAGGCCAGAGGGATGGCTCAGCAAGCCAGAGGGAGCACTGGCTGCTCTCCTGGAGGACCTGAGTTCCCAGCACTGCAGCTCACAACTGTCTGTAACTCTAGTTCTAGGAGATCTAATGCCCTCTTCTGGCTTCCACAGGCATCAGGTACAGATGGTACACAGTCATACATGCAGGCAAAATACTCACACACAAAAAAATAATTTTAAAAAATCAAAAAGTAAAATAAGGAGTATGGGGATGTAACGCAAGCACTTGTCTAACATGCACGAGGCCTTGGGCGCCCCCCACACCACTCCATACACTTTACACAGTGATGCAGCCTATGACCCCAGCACCCAGAAGGCAGAGGCTTGAGAATCAGAGTAAGATCACCCTCAGCTGCATGAGCCCAGTTTTCAGCACAAAGAGACTACGTCCCAAAATTAAATAAATAAACACATTAATGGAAATTCAGACTTGGATCTCAGACCTAATTTCAATCTAGTTTACATCAAACAAACAAACACAAACCCCTCAGAAGTCCTAACTACAGGTCTGCCATTTTCATCCTGTTACTTGGCTATGACACCCAACACAACAGTCTCACTTCAAATCTCTAAAATGGTAACAAAAGGCCAATTTTAGGTTGTGGGAGACGGCTCAGTGGGCAAGAGTGCTTACTCTGCAAGCATAAAGACCAAGCCCAAGTCTCCAGCACCCTCATAAAAGCCAGGTATCAATACTAAATTGTATTTTGTTAAGTCACTAGGCATTTTGTTATCAAATAAATGTAACCTGTAAGTTCTTTTCAGAATGTTTTAACATACGTATGTTAAATGCATTTCTAGTCCATACCTAGTATCTTGTAAAAATATAGGCTGCTATAAAAAAAAGAAAAAGAAAAACAGTGACAATAAAACAGGCATGGCGGCTGTACCTGTAGCTCAGAAATCACTCATTTACATAAATTTAAAGCATGTAGGACACTGACTTGTGCATAGGTAATAAATTTAATACTTGTTTCTTAAAAATGCACTGGTCTTGTATGGCATGGTGGTGACATGCTTGTAATCCCAGCACTATAAAGGCTGAAGCAGGAAGATTCAAGTTCCAGGCTAGCCTGGACTACAGAGTGAAACTATGTTTTTGAAAAAAGGAAAGAGTCAGGCATCATGGACACAGGCCTAGGAATTCAAAATCAGTCTCAGCTACATACCATATCCAGTCTGAGGCTACCTGAGCTATGTGAGACCCTATGTCAAAAGAAGGGGGAAAAAGAAAGGAAGAAAAACAGAGAAATGTGTTGGCTATAACATACCACCAAGTGTCAAAACTCTTGCATCACAAGAAGAATCAGTCAGACCCTAGGAAAGGGTGAATGGCTAATTTCCTTTAGCAAGAAAACAGGAAATAAAACCTTCAACTTCCTATTTTTGGGGAGGGATATCATTTTTACCTTTTTTGAGACAGGATCACCTATGGTACAGATTGTTCCTGAACTCACTATGTAGCCAAGGCTGGCCTCAAACTCCTGATCTTTCTGCTTTCTACCAGGGTGCTGGGATCACAGGTTTTTTTGAGACACTACAATCAAGGGTATTCTGGAACTCTGTATACAATCACGCTAACCTGGAACTCGTGTCCAATACTCCTGCCTAAACCCCTAAAATCTCCACCAGCAGCTCTAAATAGGAGGTGTTTGAGAACAGTGACATCCAAGCCACAAATGCCTCCACTCAGCTACCCAGTGAATTCCACAGCAAGCTGCAGAATGGCCTTCGGCATTATGCTCAGACTGTACTCACTGACCACTTTGGACTGTCTACCTCCCAGCTCCTCCCCACCCCTGGAGCTGTGGCAGCAGCGACTCTGGCTTCTGGTTGCTTGCCACAATAGTCACCTCATTGACCAGCAGCTGTCAGGTGAGCCAGGCAGCTGCTTCACTCAATAGGTCAGTTCCTTCATGGGGAGAGCCAGAGAGCCTCTAAAGCTTGGTGAATAATGGCTGACAGCCAGGATTCCCTACAGGGGAAAGTGGAAGTACCATAATCATTGACAGGCTTTTCCAAACCTCACAGGCTGCTGCCTTGTACTTGCTCATTCTATTTATTTATTGCGGGTTTTTTTTTTCCCTCTTTTTTGAGACAGGGTTTCTCTGTGTAACAGCTCTGGCTGTCCTGGAACTCACTTTGTAGACCAGGCTGGCTTTGAACTCACAGAGCTCTGCATTTTATTTATTTTTTGAGACAAGATCTCATGTAGCACAGGCTGGCTTTGAATCAATGCTCCCCATGTTGACTCCTGAGAGCTGGGATTACAGATGTGCTTGTTTTACACCTGAATAACTACATCTGGCTTGTTTAATTTCTGAGACAAGGTCCCACTATATAGCCCAAGCTGGCCTGGGTCCTCCTGTCTTGGTCCCACGACAGCTGGGACTGCAGGTACAAGGTACCTTGCCCAGTGAGTTTGCTATTATTGATGGAAGTACATTATGATTCTCAAAGGTGCAGACACCAAAAAAATATAAAACCGCTTCTACCTTACAGGACTATAAGAGAAAAAGACCAATGAGTTCTATGCAGGTAATGCTTCAAAAACCTTTTCTATAGTACTTAAGAATATTCTGCTAATAAATCAGGACAGTGGGCAAATTGTCAGTATCAGTGAACTACTTCAGGAATATCTGGATAACCACTGAACACGGCTGTTACACTCTTACCCTTCTCATCTTACTAATTTCTATGAAGGGTTCTCTTTTACAGGGGA